GTCGCTGGTTGTAGAAAGACCTGTGATGAATCACGGCACCCCATACGATGAAGAAACCAGGCTGAGATCTTGCTTGTATGCGATGCTACCAGTAGTGGGGTTGTCGAGGCTTGTTCGGGGGCTTGTTGTTTCCTCCTGGATCTCGAGAACCAGGATAAAACGCGATGCCTCGCGGCATGAGGAAAGCAGCGAGACATATTAGGCGGTTGAGGGAAGCTAGGGAAGTTGAGAAATCTGGCTCGGAAGTGGCCCGCAACAGACCAACTCGTTTGCCTACGGCACCAAATCGCCAGCTTAACGACGTGCCTTCTTGAAGAGATTGTCTGGAAATGATTGGAAGCATGCTGCCCATTAGCACCAAGATCGGATTCCTAGCACTTACTAATATACACAGCCCAATATAGGCCTGGCTCCACGAAGAGCTAGCTGCTTGCACAAGTCAGTCCTGGAAAGGAACTGCAGCGATAGAGGTCACAGAAGACATGGTGTGGTTCATTGCTGCGGCCGCTCAGAAGTGCTGTGACGTGCAGCCTGACGTGCAAACCATCAACTTGCGTCCTTGCTTGCTGGAGTCACGCCTGCGATGGCCCCCAGCGAAGCCAGTGGCTCCTTGAATTGCACCGCTCAGAGAACGAGCTTTAATGTCGACTCAGGGTACTGCCCCGTTGCCGAGCGCACCATTCTTCAGTGCAAGCTGAGCTACTCGTCTGCCGGTGGAGCTGCAACGCGAAGGCCTCCCAAGCAAAACACAGGAGCCCAAGAGAGAACCGTGGCGGAGCATGGATGACATGAAGGGCTCATGCCCAGAGCCTGCCAAGGCCGAGTTCAGAAGGCCGACCTGGACTGCGTCCCAACTCGCAAGTGCCTCCAGCGTCGGCGCGCCGCCAGTGCCTTCTCTTCCAGCTCCTTCGAGACCAGGTCCAAGGCGCCAGTGATCTGGCAGTAACCACGTACTGCTCTTGGGGGTGCATCGCTCTGTGGCGCTGCATCATTCTGCACCGGCCTGCTCCGGACAGTTCTGCAGCGCCAATGAAATCATCGGTGCATACTGAAGAGTCCTCCGCAACACTTGAAAGATCAGATGCAACAGCAACAGCCATGGGTTGACGACTGCCGGTCCTCTTCCGCCGCATCTGCCAGTCTTCTTCGGAAGTTGCGAGGAGGGAGTGGAGCGCTGTGGCAGCATCATCCTGGATGCCGCTTCGCGAAATCGCAACGAGTCGACTCAGGCCCGAGACCTCGCTCTCTATGGAGAAGACCTCAGCCGCGTGCACAGGACCGATTACACTCTTCGATGTGGCGCTGCTAGCACCCTGAGCAGTTTCTGGATCATTGGAAGTCACTCTGCGGCAGGAGGAAGGCTCTTGCTCGGCATGAAAGTGCGAAGAGGAATTGGCTCAAGCTTGTCGTGTCCGCGTTGGGCTAAGCCCTCCGACCTCCCTCCACCTCCCTTTCCCATCCCATCTCTTCGTGGTGACATCTCAAGAGAGGCTACGGTATGCTACGGTGAGAGACAAAGAGCCTTCAACTTCCTCTTGCCTGCTTTCTCTGCCCGGGCTCTGCCTTCAACATGATCGAACGACGGCGGAGCATCATCTTACCAAGCTTTGGGGATGTGGCTGTTTTTCATAGCACAGCAGGTGGGCATCCATGCCGCGTTTAACTTCTCTTGTTCGGCTACTGTGCAGCTCGCCCCACCGCCTTCACGTACCCGTCCGGCTCGCATCGATTCTTTGTTGCTTGGATGCAGCACGGACAAGCAGGCACGCGGCACCCACGACGGCAGGCAAGGCATGGTCAAGCTGCACCATCCGAGTTCAAACAGACATCCATGGAGCCACATATCGTTGTTCTTGCTTCAACCAGAGCAGTCACAAAGTGGCGCCATATCTTACATGTGATGCCTATGTCGTTTCGATTACACTTCCCTACACAAAACCAAGTGTGATATGCACGGATCCAGGTTTTGAATAGCGCAGGCTGTTTGTGGCAGGTCGCTTGGGTACAGGGCGCACAGTCTGAGGTAGGTGCCATCGCAAACTCGTTCCACGGTATCCATGCCACGAACGGGAGCACCTGCAAGAGACGGCCCCGAGATCCAGCGTAACTTGCGGAGAAAACTTGGACGGTCAGTCAGCAGCTGCTAGAAGGAGCTTCTCAGAGGCATGGCTCTTCTGGATTGACCAACCAGAGCTCAGGATTCGGGATAGAGATCACGGTGCTAAGGACAAGGAGCAACAAATGCTCGCGTCTGGGGAGAACGGCACAAGTGGTAAGCAATGATGCCAAGAGAAATCATCTTGAGCATCATGCACAAAACCTGTGGTCGTGTGCACTGCATGCACAGTCTGTCAGGCCTCGTGTCGTTGATCCAACAGAGTATCAGGCAATTCTGGGCCCAAGGCTGGATAGGAGTCTGGATGGAACATCAGAACCGGAATGCACCTCATGCATCAATGTACAAAGCTGGACAACTGCCACGACGAGAGAGTTCGGCCGAGAGGCCCCCTTACCATTGCATCGAACAGGCGCCCGGCTGTGTTTCCTGCATTGGGGCAGCCAGACTTCGAACACAGCTACTAAATCGAATCATACGGCACTTCGTCACCGACTTGAGGCTGGACTTGAGAGCTACGCTCAGGCAAGGCGTTGCGGCGCCAGCCAATGGAACTGAGAAGGGGAGTCGCAAAGTCGAATCATTTTCTGGGCACGGTTGGCTCTGATACATCCATCACGTTGACCAGCTGTCTGTGCAACGCGCTAGGAAACGAATGCGGCATGCTGCAGCAGCCTCCTATGAACTTCCACCTACAGCTGTCGAACGACTCCAAAGCAGTTGAACGCTAGTTGCATGTTGTGGGGCTGGAAGTTAAGAACGCGTTGCAGCCCTGCTTTTCCACGCCAAATAACTGCCACGTTGAATGTCAGACGCTTCGCTGTGTCGTGCTGAAGTGCATGCTCGCATCCCCAGAAGTCCGCTCTATCGCAGACTCCAGGTGCACTTTCTGGCCCTGGCTGTGCGGCGAGACTAGCAGTGAGCTTTGCACACGTCTTAGAAAATACAACAGGTAGTTGAAGAAAATCGGACACTGCAGGCGTACTTTAACAAACCTTTCGCGACGAATGCCAGCTGGAAGGCATTGAGTCAGGGACATCAGCAACCTGACAACCACGGCACTGAAATTGATTCAGTGACATGTACCGAGCTACAATCCCAGTCCGGCGCTTTTCAAGCACATCTCCACTGAGACATTCGTAATCTACAGATTTGCACAGTTGCCCTTCGGGAACTGAGCCTTTGTGCATGCAGTGGTCCCGGTAATCCTGTTGCTTAGTTCGTTACCTTGACATATGATGCTAGTGAGACTATACCATTGAGATATTCCGCATATTCTTCGCATATTAGCAGTTGAAATGAGATGCCTTGTCTGAAGAGTGCCTGCTGTACTCTGCTTTCCACATCCGGCCCACGTTGGAGTGTCATTCTGATTTGGTATCATCCTTGAAACACAGGGCATGGCGGAATCTGCCAACTCTTGCCGCTATGCTGAATAAGAAACAATGTGATAGGTCGTTGATCGTGATTCATCGCCAAGTCCGAGAATATTAAAAGAAGATGGCAACCACAAGGATGTTGTCCCGAGATCCGCGCTCCTTGAGTAGGTGAGGCGTCGAGATGAGGTGTACCCCCAGGCATATGCTTCCCTAGTGCAGAGCTGCTTGCCTGTGTATGAAGCTTAAGGCTTACTTGAGGTCTAAGCCTCAGGGCTCTCGGCTTTAAGGGAGCCTCAAGCTTGTTGTCTTGCCCGGCCTTCGCGCTTCGGACCAGAAACTTGGCGGTGTTTTCCCGCAAGTACTCGCTCACAGCCTGCCATATGCTCTGCTCTTGGGCTAGGTGGTTGGGCTGGGCCTTCCCGGACTCCCGAGTCATGGTTAAGTTTGCCGATTGCATGATTGCTGCTGCGCACCCCCCCATAGTTCGCAAATTTAATTCGGTGACACGCGTCCCAAAATGAACGGCAGGCTCTCACATGCAGCATGACCCCTTCTTCTGGCTGCGGCGGTCAAGGGTCAGGTCCCCACGGGCAACTGCACTCCACCGCAGTGGACAATGGAGGTCTCTACTTCGCCTCGCTTCTTCTCTACGAAGTGCACGCGGGCTGCAAGTGTGCTGCTCTTTGGCGGCCAGCATTTTGCTGGCGCTACTTCAGCATCCATGCCACCACGAAGATGCTCTCCCAAGCAAAGTCACAGGAAACGCGATCCATCCCGATTCCGGTATCTCAGTGGGGCCGCTTCGCTGCAGCCTGCTCTATGCTCTGCGCAGCATGTTAGTCTGCAAGACGAGCGAATCAAAAACGAGACATGCTGCTACAGGCCTCGGAATGGGATTGGCAGCACCCAGCTGCAGCATGCAGCTCGTTGGGCGAAGAGAAGAGGATGGGCGATGCCATGGTACCTGGTCACAAGCCGCAAAGATCGGCATCCACATCTCCCAAAGACAAGTGCTGTCTGTAACTCAAACACTCGGGAGCTTGCTGCGAATACTCTTTGGCGTGCTTCATCAATGCACGCCTTGAGTCAAAGACTCTCGGAAGATCTCGGAAGCACGGCTTTTTCAGCATTGCACTCTTACACATCATCTCTTTTCTGGAGAGTGGCATATGTCGCGGCCCTTCTGCCTCGATCCGGTGATTGAGCTCGGAAATGTTCCTGAGAGCCACACGTACAAGTAAGACCAAACCATCGCAAGCTCCATCCAAAAGGTGTGCGAGATAACACGGCCGAGCATCCCGTCCACTAATTCTCTAAACTCCTCGAGCGATGCTTGATTCTTGTAGGCTTTGAAGACCGCTCTGACATCATCTTCGAAAGATTTCTTCAAGCGGGGCCTGCTCGCGAGGCTCTTCAGAAAGAAAGCCATACAAACATCGCTCAGCCCGCCAGGCCTCTTGACTATCTCTTCACGCAGCTTTGGATGCAGGCGTTGGAGGAGGGCCTGCAGCTTTGTGCACAAGCAAGCCTTTTACTCTTCCCAGGGTGCCCTCGCCTCCGGAGCTAAGTCCGAGTTTGGATCTTTCCACAACCATCCGAACAGAAAGGAGGTCCTGAGTGGCGACAGCAAATGTATAATAACAACAGTTGCAACACCACGTGGCGTGGACAGGAGCATGGATGCTCATTGCGCTTTCTTGACAGGCTGCTGTCCAGATCCTTGGTCGAAGCCCAACAAACTCGTCGACCCCTCAAAGCAATGACGCAGCGCTCACACTGTTTGTTAAAATCAAAAGCGGCCGAACTGCCTGAGCTGGATGCCGCGCCCCACTCGTGGCACTCACCATGCACCACCATGGCACAAAGGAGACAAAGCAGCTGGAAAACGAGTTTTGCATCTCACGTGTCTTTGCGGACAGAGAGGCGTGCAGCATGGCACTATACCGTCGTTCATGATGCGCTCGTATGCGAGTCTGCTCTTTGTGTGCGATTCGTAGATTTGATGTGGGGTACCTTTCAACGTCTAGGGCGCTGGTTTAAAAGCCTTGGTTTCGGGCAGACACAGCTTTGGCCATCAACTATGGCTACGGTCATCAAACAGGTAAGATTCTATGTAGGAGCACATAAACTGATATGTGAGCAGACCTACAGCTTTCGTAAGCTCAAAGATTCTGAAGGATGTTGCCAGGATGGACGATATGGGCAACTGCCAACCGCAGCTGTCACAAGTGTTCATCACACCAGCGCACTAAAAGATACTCAAAGCACGTCTGCCAAACCTGCCGGAAGACACCGTTTTGCAAAGGTACCGAGCTCACCAACGCCAAACGCATCGGCCAAAGTGCAAAGTCCGGCCTGGCCGCTCGCCACGGCTGCCTTGACGATGCCAACCAGAGCCTGCAACAGAAGAAGCGCTTCTGTGGCTTATCACCGGATGCGTGCTGCTGGAATCCAAGACCACACTTCCTTACCCGAAGCCCTAAAGCCGGATTCTGGACTCGAAACTCACGTAAACAAAAACACCCCGCTAGTCTGAAACCGGGTCGTGCAGACATGCGGCACGCAAATGGCTGAACAATGCCAGGCGGTATTTTGGGAGGGCGAGGCGTGTTGCCCAGCACTCCCTCCCTCTCCAGCTTTGCTTGAATAGCTGGCACAAGTGTATTGTATGGTCGCTTCATCTGCATCAGTCGCTTGCAGACTCGCATGCTTAGCATCATACGAGGAGCATTGGATTTTACAGTGTGGATCGAGAAAACTAGCCTTCGACGGCGGGCCTATCTAAGAGATTTGGAGCTTCGAGCCCTAACCAATGCTTGTTCTCCGGCTCGCCTCGCCCATGCGGGGCGGCAAGGTCCAGGTGGAGTAGGGCCACTAGATGACTCAAGCGATACACTGCCCGTCCAAGGCTCAAACAGTGTTGCCGGACATTTTGGGAGGGCGGAACATCTGCGACAATGCTATTTGTCAGAGCCCTCAGCCTGACTCGGCGAACCGACACGAGATGTTTGTTGTTTCGATCGCAGCGACGTCACAGACAACTCATTGGCGAAGGACTCTGCGCCAGGGCATCCGATGGAAATCATACTCGAAGGCACTGCGTGCCTCGCCAGCATCATCATCGCTCAGCGCATCCCAGAAGCCATCCTCAAAACTGCCATAGGTGTGCAACGCATGCCTGTGCCTTTGTGCCGTAAGCTGTAAACCTCACAAACTCCAAACAATGAGCACACTCTACCCACACTGCGATGTCTTGCTGGGTGCCGTGCAGAAGCAACCAACAACGCTTCCCCGTCCTGCATCCAAACTATCGCCGGCTGCAATCAAGAGACAGCGGCAGTGGCCCTCAACCTTTCTCCCAGGCATCTGAGCCGGCAACGTTAACCGGGAAGCTGAAGACGTCTGGAACGCAGCTCACGCCGGCACCCTGCGCAAAATCTACCTGGCCTACAAGCCTGGCTTCCCTTTCATGTCGCAAACTGGAGCTATCCACACGGAGCCCCACACTCCAGCAAACTCCCAGGGCCGCATCCACAGGCATGCTCCAGCCGGCACTTTCGGTGGTATGACGTAGTAGCGTCTTTGGCCAGAAACTGCTAACAGAGGCATAGCAGTGGAAGTTGTTCGATACTAAAGTATAACTTATAGATATTTTCCATTGCACGAGACAGTTTCCTGCCATCGGATTCTACCTGGCACTTCTGTAAGGTATTGCAGCAACGCCCACAGGCGAGTAATTATGTGTATGTCGATTTGTACACTGCATGCTGTTGCACGCTACACATCATTCAAATTTCTGTGTACGGAGACAAACTAGCAAATGTATGTTCGTCTGCATGCATGCATGTATGCATGAATGCATGAATGCATGAATGCATGTATGCATGTATGCATGAATGCAAGTATGCATGTACGCATGTATGCATGTATGCATGTATGCATGTGCAGGCAGGAGGCAGAGAGGCAGGCAGGAGGGAGGCATGTAGGTAGGTCGGGAGGTGGGTAGGCAGGATATGACTTGTTGTCTCGCTTGCTGGTTCATTGCCATTGCTGTTCCTGTTACACTGTTGCTGGTTGCTGTTTCCAGTTTCCAACGCCTTTCTTGAATCACCACCACTCCTGCCAACAACATCGCGTCTTTACGTTCTATTCTGAAATTCCATGCAGAAGGTTGTGTCGTATATACTTACAACGCTAGGCCGCTTGGCTCCGTTCAGCTCTCCTGGGTGACTGCCGCAAAGTGTGATCATGTGTTGAAAGATCCCCCTCCCAGAGACAAGTTGCATGTCGGAAGCCACTGGGGCGTCCGTGGCAATGCCCACCACCGCAAGCAGAGCGGAGTGATGAGAAGTCCAAAGCAGCAGTCCAACTCTTACTTCAGTTCGGAGGGGCGGATTTCAGGACTCCAACGCTAGTCTGTGGACCGGAGTTCGGGTTAACTCCGAACCCAAACTCCTTGCGTGTTCGGGGTTGGAGTTGAAGTTTCTCCAACGCTTACCCCAGGTGGTTGTGAATTTTCACGCCTACCTTGGATGTCCTGATGTCACGGCATGTCGGAAGCTGTTTGGAGTGCTTTTAAACCCTAAACCCCTAAACCCCTAAACCCCTAAACCCTAAACCTCTAAACCCCAAACCCTAAAACCCTATTAGATTCTTTACACTGAAGCCCTCCCAAGCCGCAGATCGAGCACCGCGACAGGAGAAACGAAGGGGCGATGATGCTCATGGTGCTGCCCCCTGCCCCTCAACCATGCCAGTCCCGACTCCCTGCAACCTCACCCCAGCCATATAGAGAGCCCTGCTACTGAGCCAGCGCCTTCAAGTTGTGGTCCCCGAGCGATCGGGAGACGCTCAGGGCACCACCAACTCGGCCGAATCGAACGAAGCCGCCCTCCTTCGCCCGGCGTAGGCTTGGCATCTCTCGCAGAATTCTTGACAGCTTCCCGGATTCCAGTCCTCGGAGACACGCCGGGCCTGGCAGAGAAGATCAAGGCATGGAGCATCTTCGAACGAGTGTTTCCTAAGGTGCTGCTGTTGAACTGGCATTTCGTTGCCTCGTCAGGATCGCTTGCACGATGGTCTCTGGAGACCTGCTAGTGTAGTTAGCTGTCCAGCATGCCGCTGAATCCCGACAAACTGCATCATCATCATCATCATCATCATCATCATCACAATCATCATCAGCAGCATCATTGGCACCAACACCAAAACTATCATCATGCTGGGAAGGTGGCCCGCCGACTGTCGCCTGTGGGCGAGACCAGAACCTGATGCATGGGGTCGCCACCACAGAAGCCGCATGCCAAAACACCAAAACCTGTTGCGTTCACAAGTACTTACTTGCTGTTTCAGAAGCTGATGCTGTACTTACAGCCAGTACGCAAGAAACCGTAAGGGAATGCATCGAAGCAGTGCTGGATCTTGCAAGCACGAGACCGCGGACCGCATCACTGGCTACGGCGCTGGGCACATCTAGTGCAGCGAAGATGCTGCTCTGGAGTCTCCAACATTGGCGACGTGCGCGACACGGCTAAGACCCTGCAATTCAAAGTACATGCGAACGCAAAGTTGAATCCGCTGCTCATCTAAAAGCCCGGGACAAGTTGGCCTGCTGGATCACTAATGCCACGGTGGCCGTGCAGCCGCTGTTCCAGGCCTCGGTCACGTGGAGATGCCAGGACTGCAGCTCAGAGTCCTGTCTGGGACCCACACACCCGTCATAGCCAATTGGCTATCCATTTTCTTGAACCTTATGGGTTCGCAGTTCGCGGCATGAGGTTTGTTTAAAACCTAGAGCCCACCCAAGGAGAAACTTCGAAACCGACTTCAGCCCATCCGAGCATGTCTGCGTTGCAAGACCTGTCTTCAGTTGTGGCCTCTCGGGGCCTTTCTAGACTTCTCACGACTGATTATCTGTCCTTGGCCAGGGAGCTTTCACAGGCCCTTACGAGGTTCAAAGTGGGTCTGGAGGCCACGGACCTTCTTGACATCAAAGCACACATGGTCGCGACGATCTGGAGAGGAATCGGAGGACTCACTCGCAAGGAGACAGTGCTCCGACGGCCCCAAAGTGTCCAACATTCTCCGAGTCACGCGGTCACCAACGCGGTCGGGGCGTCGCCAGCCGCAAGCAGCTCGCTTCGCACGGTGCAGTGGAGGTGTGCCTGCGAAGCGGCTATCAGCCGTCCCAAAGCCCGTCGAACAACTCGAGTTTTGGGCATCGCTCCTCCACGTGATCCACCTCGGCTCGGCCGCCGTGGCCATCGTAGACACCGAAAAAATCCCAGAGCTCCTCCCAAGGACTTGATTCTTCACTGGAAACAACTCGCGTTAAAGTGCTCCGAAGTCCTCGTTGTCTGTGCTACCGGCCCTGTGAAGAGGCTGAACCACCTGCACAGAAGCCACAGCTTAGCGCTTTCTGTGTGAACGTCACCAGGATTCGCCTGATGGCCATCCTCCATGTATGGCCGGAACTCGCTGTTTGCGTCGGATGCCTTACGATATTGCCCGCGCATGCCACATGCAGGAGTCAAGACTGCATCCGGCAGCTGACCCGCATCACTGATGTAGCCACTTTAAGTATCTCTTTGCCAAAAATATGTCATATATCACATCATATACATATACATATACGTATGTACGTATGTACGTATGTACGTATGTACGTATGTACGTATGTATGTATGTATGTATGTATGTATGTATGTATGTATGTATAGAGAGAGAGAGTGTGTGTATACAACAGACAACATACACAATACAGAACAGACGACATAATTGTTGAATGTGTGATGCACAGTCTACAGCATACAGTACACAGTATATACCATAGAACATAGAATGTACAGCATACAATATGCAATGTACACTACCTATTGAATTATAGGATATATCGAACATACCATATGCCAAGAACGCTACACACACTTAAAACAAAAAACAGATCTTTTACAGTGTCAAAGATATCTTCAGAGTCTCAGAGAGAGAGAGAGAGAGAGAGAGAGAGACGTAGGCGGTGAGGCTGAGCTCAGCGGCAGAGCTGACGAAGGCCGTTCTCCGAGCCGGCCTTGGCCAGAGAGCCTTGGCCTCGAAGGCAAGAGATGAAGGCACACACACACACATAAGGATTGTAGGCATTTAGAAAGATTCAGGACAGGTTTAAGCGGATATAGGGGGATTTACGGATCAGGTTTTAGTAATCTAGGGTGTTTGTAGAGGCTTTCCGCTGGAATGACGACAAAGCAATTGAAGACGGCGTGCCTTCTCGGCAGAGGGGAAAATCGGAGAATGCCTGCAGGGCCCCCAAGGCTGTAGTCGAGCATGGCTCGCCCAATGCAGAAAGTGGGCTTAACATGTGCCTAGTCTTCACTGAAAGATTGTGTTTTGTTCTTGTTTCGGCAAGCGGAAGGATAGATAGCCTGCAAGGCGGCTTATGTGTCTCAGCGGTGCGCTAGGCAGTTGAAGGGCTTGTGAAAAGCGTTTAGGTTGCAGTGTGAAGGCTTTGCGAAAATTGTGAAAGCCTTTTGAAGGAATTTTGAAGAGGCGTTGCCCGGCAGTCCCTCGTACTCCACCAGCGTACATTAGCAGGCCCTTGATGCAGCAGCTTTCCTGTTGTTGTTGGCTTCAAAAACAAGCCGTTGTTTTTCTGCTGCTTTGCGGCCACGACTCCTCGCATAGCCAGCTCACACGTAGGGATCTTGTTGTTCCACGTTGTTACTTCTCCAGAAGCAAGGGAGTTGTCAATCTTGGTCGGCCTTCTTCGGTGGATTGGCCCAGCGACATTGCATCACCCAATTCAGTTTCTTCGCCCCACAAGGCAAACAACGAGCCAAAGTCTGAGCTTGTTGTACAGGCCACGACCTGCTGCAAGGTAGGCGGACTCGGCACAGCACTCGGGCTTGCCGACAGGCGGGAAGACCGGGAGGGCCCGGTGGATCCACCTTTCACAGGGCCCTCGCCCTTCAGAAGGCTCCCCATCCGTCACAAGCCCATCGAGGGATTTTAGAAGCATTTGTTTGATATTTTGGTGTCCAGGTGAACTTGCAAGACGAGGGACAACAGCAATTGCACGCGTCCATTGGAGTGCATCTGTGAAAGTGCGTGATCGATGTATTCTGCAAACTTTTCCACGCACCCCACGAGCCCATCTGCACGTGTCAAGGTCGAAGAGGCAGGCAAAAGCGTCTTCCAGCTTCTCAGGTTCCCTCAGTCTTGCACATATGGGACATCTTTACGCGCCTCAGTAGGACAAGGCAGCACCGGGACCTCCTCAGGCTCTACCGGTACTTTCTTTATTTGCGAATCGAACATCACATCGACCGCTGATGGTTCTGGAATTCGTGTCTTAACCCTTTACTCTTCGATCGTCTTGCCTCCCGACTTCCAGGTGCTGGATGGTGTTTGTAACTCGGTGTAGCGAAGGGAAGGTCGAAGCCACTCGTATAAGCAGAACACCCCTCTACCGAGACCAGTATGACCCCGCCTCTTGAGCTTAGTAACCGACATTCGAGTACCAAAACCACTGACGGGGTTGAGACAGTGTCGAAATGCAAGCGAGCCTTAGAGGCATTGCGCTCGCAGATTGCCTGACGCTGGAAAAGGCCACGGGACGATGGTCGCAATTTAAATTTAACGCTGTCAGGTTGTTCCAGCTATGCTTTCTGGGATGCTTTGCCCTACGTTGCCTTTCTCGGATGCAACCAGTGTTTGACTCGGCGTCATGTCGATGGCTTTTGCACCCAAGATCTGAGCTAACTAGTGGAAGCACGACTCTCAATGCTGTATCCTAGGCGGTGCCTGGGTGGAGATGCCGTCGGTGAGGGCCTCTACGCAGCAGCGATGTGCATTCCAAAATTCGGCTGTCTATCGAAGAACATCCGCCTTCCGCGGCTTTCACACGGTGAAGATGCCACAGGGCTGCTCGGTATCCGCGAGACCTGAGCATTGTGAGACTGAAACTAAATTGGCAAGGTCGGCCTTCCCTGCATAACCTAAGGAAAACGTATCTGGTCCCACTCACATGCCCCTTCTGCCTGAAAAAACGTAGGACATGTTCCTATTCTGAAGTTCCCGAGGCACAGTCTTTCACAGAAGCACCCTTTGCTGGCACACCCGTCTTCCCAGCTGACTGATGCCTCCCCCCGTACTTCAGATGTCTCGAACACAGCGCCCAGGCCTGTTTTCTACACTGGAGTGGACTAATCGTTGGTCACAACTGAGGACGGAGATCACAGATCTCACGCATCGCTTCTTTGCCTTCACTACAGTGGCCCAACGTGCTTGTCACCTTCGGTTCCCTCTTTGGTGGTTGTTGAAGTTTCGCAGGTTTCAGCTAGGAC